TTCAGAAAAACTATGGGGTTTTTCTGGGATACTGGAGGAATTCAGGAAAAACTCCGCTGCGTCCAGGAAACGCATCTGCTCTTCTGACATTTTTTGCAGAAGAGTAGACGCACTCCTTCAGAAGCCCTGTAAACTTTGTTTCATGAGGAAGAAGGGCTCTTCCAAAAGAGGAGGTTTTGCCAAAATTTGGCCCAGTGTAGATGGGCCAAATTCCAGAAAAGCCTCTTCCAAAAAGAGAAATCGGAAAAAGGTGTAGTGTAAACATAGCCTCAGTGGCCAAAGAGAAGAATCTACTAAACCTCCTCTCTGTACTAGCTCTTAACAGATTTAAAGGCTGTTATCAGTGCACTGCTCAGACTTCTTTTTTCAAGACTAAAGATGCTCATTTTTAAAAAATCTGACTGTATAGGCCCCATATTTCACCTGCAGCATCCCCTCCTATTTAATCTTTGGACTCAGCACTTACAAACATAAGGTCGGCCATGCCTGGTCAGACCAATGTGTTGGGGAAGGGGCGCTATTGATCTTGAATTCGCCACTTTGACTTTTCTGAGGCCGCAGTCACCTGATCTTAATCTGCTCAGAAACAGAGGGCATATAAGAACCATTCAACTGTCCCCCAACGCTCTTCTGCCATTCTGAGGCACTGAAGTGGCAGATCTGTTGTGACCCTTTCCTACCATCAGGAGACCAGAAATCTCTAGCCAGAGATTATGCTTGATATGGTCCCTCAATGGTGGAGCAACCCAAATACCCACACATAGCAATAGCTCAGGGTAATAGCATAAGGGCTGAAGTAACTTGATTCTTCAAAGCAGACTGGCACTCACCCATAATTTACCTCACTCAACCACAGGGCAGCCGACAGCCCTGACAGGCTCCTGGGCGGGGAATGGGCAGCTCTGTGCTCCCAGAAGAGGCAGGACCATGGCTGGAAGGGATGGAGCCAAGGCAGCCAGACCTCAGCACCACCCGGAGTGTGCCACACCATCCTCTCCCAGCCCTTCCCCAGAGTGTGCCACGCAGTGCTCTAAGGACAATTTAAAGTAGTGGCAGTGACCGGGTACCCCATGCCCTTTAGAATCACTGATCCACAGGCAGCTGCCCCAGTGGCCTACACACACGCACACACACACACACATTCTGTCAATGGGCCTGCTTAACCACATTCTTCACTCATGACACTGAGTCAAGAAGAGAAGATCTAAAGAAAGAAGATCATCCTCTGCTTACCTGAGCATCCATCTGAAGGTCTAGATCTGTGTCCAGTTATCCTGAGTTCCTTCCCACTGTCTCCCATTCCTGTGCGGCCTCCTACTCTGTCTACTGTAACCAAGAGCATGGTAGAGTGATTCCTTTTCTATTGTGTTCTGTCCTGATGTTATTTGTATTTGAGATTCTAACTTCCATGCCATTGTCTTTGTGATGACAGCCAGATCTTCTTGTTATTTGTCGGGTTGAAGGGGCCCATTAGTTGGTTGGTATTACTTTGTATAAAGCTATTCACTGACCCCAATCATCTGGTTGTGTCCTTTGTACTTAACTAAATAACTGGTGATGTGGAACTTGAGCTTGGGACCTTCTGATTCAAATGCTGTAGCTTACAAATGGATTAAATTAAATCCTGGCCCAACAAATGGTCCATCTAGCCCAATGTCCTTTCCTTACACAGAGGCTGCTCTGTGTGCCACACACAGTTTTGCATATATCTGTAGTCTTAAAGGCCAGATTATCTAATCTAACCCTCCCTTGCATATAAAAGGCCTACTGCAGCAGTGCATTATGGGCCAAAGAATACTCCAGAAAGGCATCTATTGTCTTCACTAAAGACACCGAGATGGCAAAAGCACCACTTCCCTTTGTAGTTAGGAGGAAATTTACTCAAGGGGAAGGGAATTGACCCTCAAAGCCACACTTCAGAGTCTGAATCATAACACACATGCACACCAGTACTATGCTAAGGTTGTAGATGTAACCTTAATTCTGATGCTTTCTAGTGTTTAAAGGCCTGGGCTATATATTATAAAACTATTTTGGGTAGGGATGCATTGATGCATTTCTTTCTTTATTTCTACCTAATAGCTGTCCCAGTCCCATTTCTAGCATGTGCCGTTATAGCTTCATAAAAGTGCCTTACACCAGTAAATCTTATTCCCTTTGTTATGCTGGTATAAATCACCTTCACACTGCTATGACTGTGTCTATAGGAGGGAGGTTGAGGGCTTTTTGTTTGTTTGTTTCTATTGTTTTTTGTTTTCTTCTCAGATGGTAGCCAGATCAGTGAGGGTTTTTTGTTTGGTTGTGGGTTTTTTCCCCCCTTTTTGCTTCTCACTTGGGGGCCAAGCCAGTGAGGCTTGTTTGTTTGTTTGTTTGTTTGTTTGTTTGTTTGTTTGTTTGTTGGAATTTTTGCTTCCCCACTCAGGACCAGATCAGTGAGGAGTTTTTTCTTTTGTTTCTCACTTTAGTGTGGTCTCCAGCTGATTTTTTGTGTGGCCCACAACTGAAAAAAGTTCCCCACCTTTGATTGAAGAAATAGATTACATACACCACAGCTAATAGCTCTGGAATTTCACATCTGATGTCCTTCAGATCTTGTGAGTGAATACCATCTGGTCTGGATGACTTGTTATTGTTTAATGTATCAGTTTGTTCCAAAACCACCTCTACTGACAACTCATTCTTCTCAGTCCTGACTGGAGGTGGGCAGGAAATGATTTTCCATCCTGTGGAAATATTTGGGATATCAAAACAATTTTCTGTCCCAAATTAGGACAAAGTTTTAGAATGGCTCAGGTCAATTTTGATCCTTTAGTGTATTTATTTATTCTACAGTAATTAGCTTAAATTTCACAAACAAAAGTTATGTAAAGCCAGAAAAACATGTTTTCATTTAAAATTATCAAAACAAAATATTTTTGCAAATTTTGAAACTTTTCTTCCAACATTTTTTCAAATAAAAATAAATGACTTACAGCAGACCCATGTCCAGATAAAGTTTTAGGTTTTGACGATTCAGCATTTTCCTGGGATTAAAATGTTTCACTCTGAAACGTCCAACTAGTTGTATACCTGAACCACAGCAATTCTCACTATTCCATTCCTCAGAAACCCACCACCCAGCAGCCCATATTTCCATTGCAGGCTTTGATTCCCACACTGTTCTGCCTGTGTCCTCTAAGCCAAATTAACACTTCTGATTTTCCAGGTCTGCACTTCTTGACAGCTGTGCCAACATACATCAATTCCACCCCATCAGTACCCAGTGCAATTCCAGCCCTAAACCTTTACCTACAAACTCTCAGTCTGACAGTACAGAAATACAGTAAAAGCTGTATTATCTACCAGCCAGGAAACTCCATAGACTGGCATGTCTGATGTTGACCTTCATAGAGACTTCACTTTATAGTCCAGTTGGCAGGGGGCCAGAATGCTCCCTACTTGGGTCAGTGGGGCTCTCTGGAAGTGGTAACCAGTGTTCCCTCTAAGCTGCATGGCAGCACAGCTTCACAGGTGATTATTCAGCCCCATCCAGTTAGTCAGCTCCATGCAGAGAGCCCACAGCTTAGAGGAAATACTGGTGGTGACATGTCTATGCTGCTCGTAGTCAGAAAAACAGCCATGGAGGCTCCATGCACTGCCCCTGCCCTGCCCTGCCCTGCTTGCTGGCTCTACAGCTCCCATTGTCCAGGAACCACAGCCAATTAGTTGTGAGGGCGGTGCCTGTGGGCATGAGGGCCTAGGAGTCATAGGGTCCTGGCAGCTGCTTTCTGAGAACCATGGTAAATATTATCAGGACTTTGCACCCCACCTCCCTACCCCAGCCTGGAGTCTCTTTCCACACCCAAACTAGGGATGTTAGTGAGTAGTCAACTATCTGATAAGCAAATCAGATAGTCAAGTAGCCACTCAACTAGTCACTACCCGCCACTTGCTTCTTCTATCAGTGGGGAAACGGTGCGAGCAGGGACTGCTTCAGCTGGGTCCCCTGGAGACAGGGGCTGCTTCCCAGCAGTGTCCTCTATACCTTTCCCCCACCCCCCACTGGGCAGCACACTGTAGACAGTGCTGGAGAGAACCAGCTTTTAAAGGGCTGCTGGACTCAGCGCGAGCCAGGACAAAGCAGTCCCAGTCACGCTCATCACTGCACCTCTGCCTTTTAAACCTAGTAAGAGCCTAGCAGCTCTTACTACATTTAAAATGCAGAGCAGCAGCGCAAGTGGCTCTAGAACTAGCTCCTGGAGCTACCTCCACTGCAGCTCCGCACAGCAGCGCTTATCGACTACTCGTATAGTCGATACAAATTTTATCAACTATACGATTAGCCAGATCATCACATTTTAACATCCTTACCACAGAGCCCATGCCCCCATCCCAGAACCCATACCTCTTCCCACACTCTATCCCCCTGCCTCAGCCTGGAGCCCCCTCGCACACTCCAAACTCTTAGTTAACCAGAATATTTGACTAATCAGCACCCTCCTTTCTCCTAACATAACAGATAACATGCCAGATAACAAAGCTTTTTCAGTATCTAAGTCAAAGGTAGGGCACTCTGAATATAGGTTGAGTAACATGATTTACTTAGTGATCTGACTAGTTAGATACAGCAAGGTTGTTTAAATCCAGATCAAAGAGAAAGCTGAACCTTTTTTAAAAAGAGATATTTAGGTTTATTACTTAAATTAAGATAAATAAACACACAAATTTGGGGAATTCAATTTCTGCTTTATTTAGTAAAACGTAATATTGTAGGTCATGCAGCCTCAGGCAACAAATCAGCTCCGAGACCCAGAGAGAGATATAAGCAGTGCTTTTTTTGTGATGGTACTGTCCAGTACGCAGTACAAGCACCCCCAGACGCAGCCTTTTTTTGTGATGGTACTGTCCGGTACGCAGTACAAACCGGCACCTTTTTTTTTTTTTTTTTTTACAAAAAAAAGCACTGGATATAAGGGAATCTCAACAGGGTACCAATGCCAAATGTGGGAAAGAGAACCATGTTTTTTTTTTTTACAAAAAAAAGCACTGGATATAAGGGAATCTCAACGGGGTACCAATTAAGGGGGCTGAGACAGAGTCATCAGGGAAACAGACATGCCCATCTCTGCATAAACTGCAAAGCATGTTTTTGACACTGCAGTTTCATCATATTGCCCCTTGTGCTACCTATGGCAACTGACAGTGGGAGCCCAGAAGGACCAATGCAGTACAGTGCCATGGCTCCTGGAGCATTACGATGAGAGGGGGCTGACCTGGCAAGTGAGAAGTAGACAGAGATACCTAAAAAGGAGAAAGAGCAACTATGTAAATGGAATGGAGAAAGGTTGATCATGGTTGACTTGGCCTCGTATTCTCATTGTCCCAGGGCCTCCAGAGATGTTGGGACACAGTGAATGCTTCTTACACTGAGTGCAGGGGCACTGAGCACAGTTTTCCACGGTGTTCTATCAGGTGACTCAGAGGGGAGTCAGAGCTCCGTCTTCTCCTCTGGGCTGGGATCTTCTTTCTAAAATACAGGAGGGGCAAGAAAGCTGGGTTGATACCATCATGGTTTTCATCAAAGAGATAAAGAGTGCATCTGCACAGCCAGGCTTAATTCAAAATAAGCTACGCAAATTGAGTTATGTCAATTGTGTAGTTTATTTGTAAATAGCTTATTTCAAAATTGGAGGCATCTACTGTACACAGCACTTATTGCGAAATAGAGCATTCTTCCTCCAACTTCCCTTACCCCTTGTACAATGAGGGTTACAGGAGTCAGAGGAAGAAGTCCTCCAGCTTGACAGTATTTCGACATTATTTCAAAATAACTGCCTGCTGTGTAGATGCGGACTAAGTTATTTCAAAATAATGTTGCTGTGTAGATGTACCCAAAGGGAGAACAATATTTAAATTCTTGCTTCAGCAGCCTGTGTTGCCTAATTACCCCCATCCCATTTTAGTAGCCCACAGTTACTTTCAGGGGGCATCACATGCCATAGGCTCTGTGGCTCTTAGTGCAGCAAGTTAAGCCATCATAAAAGCAATAGACGCTTTAGACTGAATGAAAATGAAGGTTAATCCCCTCCCTTCACAGCAGGGTGGTGATCCAGCTCAGGCAGATTTGACCCAATTTTGAATACTTTTATCTGAAAGGTTTTTGGTGAATTTCCAATCTAAAACCACCCTCTGTCTCCTGGGCCCCCATAAAGCTATATTCAGGGCCCAAACACATTCACTTCTGCTACTGATCCCTGCATCTTGATGCAGCCCTTACTCTCCATCTCACCAAGGACTGCTCTCAGGAAGGGAAATGGCTTCCTTAAATGAGACTAGTCCTGAAGTCATGGAGGGAACATGACACCTTCTTGCTCTTGGGCTATAAGGTAAAAGTTGGGGAAGACAGGGGCTCTCCAAACCCAGTCTGCTATACAATTCCTGAGACCTGATGCCCAAGAGTGATGGAAGAAATGACAGAGGCGAGAAAGTTTCAGAGAACTCAGACTGTCCTGCTCAGAAACATGTGAGCAGTAATGCTCTCCCACATACTAGCCACTCACCATTTGCTTTCTCTCTAAGAAGCCATTGCAGAAGTCCCGTACATGCTCCACTGAGACCTCATCCAGGGGCAGCACATCCTGCTTCTCATCTGGGGTATGGAATATAGCCAGAGCTGGCAGCTGGGACTTCTTCAGGTTGAAGAACGACATCACACGTCCATTGCCCTTCACATTGCTGTCCACCAGGATAAAAAGAATCTGCATCGGAGAGAAAGCAAACTAGAGATCCTGAAGGAGAATGGACACACATGCTCACACAAATGGTACTTCTACACTTGCCCCCTAGTTTGGACTAGGAAGGCAAATGAAGCATACCGAAATTGCTAATGAAGCGCGGGATTTAAATACTCCTCGTGCAATGAGGAGTAACAGTTAATTCGAGGGAAGGGTTTTGGATCAGACTACCGCGTCTACACGCGGCGAGTTAATTTGGGCTACCAGCATTTTTAAATGGCGCCGGCCGCGAATATGCTAATCAAGCGCAGGATATTTAAATCCCGTGCTTCATTAGAAACTTCGGTATGCTTCATTTGCCTCCCTAGTCTGAACTAGGGGGCAAGTGTAGACATACCCAGAGATACTACTGTAATGAACTGTCTGTAGATGCTAGATCTCTATAGCCACACTCCTGCTTTTCGAGGGTTGAGAGTGCTACTGGAATCCTGCTGGCCTCTCAAAGGCTGTCAGCCTGGCAGAGAATGCAGTTGCCACAGAAACAACAACCATCTTGCCTCTTTATCCAGCCCTGCATGGAGAACAGCACTACAATGTCCAGCCAAACCTGGAGCAGCTTACAGTCTATTCTTTATACCAGATTTATGGAACAGTTGGAGACCACGTTTATTATACATGTAATAAATAGAGCCCTGTAGGTTTGCGGAGAGCCACTTTATATCCACAGGTATCTGCATCTTTGGAGGTGGATGTGGATATCCACTGCCCATTTTTGTGGATTCAGATACAAATGTAGTATCTAAAACCCTGCACATTTGCAGATGTCTGTTTTATATCCATGGGTATCTGCAACCAGGGACGTGCATGTGAATATCCGCAAATCATTTTTGCAGATGCAGATACAAATTTTGTATTTGTGCAGAGCCCTTGTAATAAATCCCCCTTATCCTTGGTGGTTTCATGTTTGCTTTCTATAGACATTTGAGCATTCAAGCTGGACTACTCCTGAAAAGAGCATTTTTTGCTCAAATTGTCACTCAAAAACTAATTCCTAATTGTGGGCCAAACCCTCAGCTAGTGTAAATTAACAAGCTCCATTGAAGTCAATACCAGTCTATATCAGCTATATAGTCAATCATAAACTAAAAATTAATGCTGTGCTGGTTAGTTATAGTATATAACTCATGTATTGTTATGCTTCCATTCCCTGAAGACCTCTCAACCATCAAACCTGCTTATGTATGGCAGAAGTTATCACTATGTACACAAATGGCCAAAATATGTAATGGCTATGTTTTCTTCAGTGCTGCAGCATAACTGACACATTGTAATTATTATTATTTATTATGATCATAAAATGTATTTCTAAGATTGTTTTCTCGCTCTGTGAATCAAAAGAAGCTGTTTTGCAATCGCGTGCAGTGTGTTTCCACACACTTATGCAATAACTACAGACATATGTGCTCAAATGATACCAATTTATATTGCACACAAAGAATATGTCTTTTACACTTAACTCCTTACATCTCTATCTCTGTGGAATGACAATGCTGAGTTCTCATTAATGTAACCATACTGGAACCCCTTTCAAAAGCAGCATTTGAATGGAGGAAGCAAAGTAAAATGACAAATTGTTTAAAATGAGGCAGTCTGTTAGATTCACATAGCTTCTTCAGCAGTTCCCTCCAGTATTCTGTCACACAGTAATGTGGTCTGCTTACTGGCCCAGTGAAGTTGTCAATAACCTCAAACTCATATGTTGTTAAATTATCCAATAATTCATCACAGTTCTTTTCAGAAATTACAGAAAGCCAGGCATCAAGCCAAACCTGTTACTATGGCCTCTGACAGATCCAGTGTGAGGCTAGCTCTGAAAATGTCCTTGCATTTTTCAACAAGTGATCCTCGGGGGAAAAATTCTTCAGCATTTTCACAAGGCATCCGTTTAAAAGATCACTCTGTGTCCATAAAAATCTATCTTGGTAGAAGTCCCTAAAAGTTATCTTCACTCTTGTTCAAGTGCTTCTTCAAGACATCCAACTTTGATATTGCTGCTGGGAAAATGAGTTGTTAGAATCATCTAAAACTGAAAGACCATTCTCCTATTAAGCGTTGTGCTGTCAAGTAGCAGCATGCTTCAGTTTTCAAGCATGCTGTTGAACCTCTGGCTATCTTTATGCAGTGTCTCCAGATGAGCTGGATATCTATATTTTGAAGTCTGGTATTAAATGCAGAAGTGCATCAATTACATAGCTGAGGAAGATGGAGATTATTGGTGTATGATACTTCAAGGGTAGACATCTACTCTGCTTTTGCTGGTCTTTGTTCCAAAGAAAGAAAATAGCAAAAGAGGGCAGTCCTTTTCTTCAGTGTTTGACTGAATTTCAGCTACCTGATGGGAACATATTTTATGATTCTGAGGCTATGTCTACACTGCAGAGCTTTTCTGGGATACCAGAGGTATCTCAGAAAAGCTCTGCCGTGTCCAAGAAATGTGTCCGCTTTTTCAGAACAAGTATCAGAGAGGTAGCCATTTTAGTTTGAAACTGCATAAATAATGTGAAGTCCTGTGGCACCTTATAAACGAAGGATATGTCTACACTACAAAGTTAATTCGAACTAACAAACATTAGTTCGAACTAACTTTGATAGGCGCTACACTAGCGCTCCGCTAGTTCGAACTTAATTCGAACTAGCGGAGCGCTTAGTTCGAACTAGGTAAACCTCATTCCATGAGAACTAAGCCTAGTTCGAACTTACTAGTTCGAATTAAGGGCTGTGTATCCCCTTAATTCAAACTAGTGGGAGGCTAGCCCTCCCCAGCTTTCCCTGGTGGCCTCTCTGGCCAACACCAGGGAAACTCTATTGCCCCCCTCCCGGCCCCGGA